TAAATATTAGTGGAGTTTGTTGAGGGATTTTAGTTACAAACTTCACTATAAATACATTGAAAACAACTTGAAGACTTTGAGAGCTTTAAGGTATTGAAGAACGCTTGACAACTTGAAGGCTAGAAGATTTGAGAGCTCTTTTGAAGGCATTTGAAGATCTTGAAGAATTAAAGGCATTGAAGGCATTTTTTGCAGGCTTTGAAGATCTTGAAGAATTAAAAGCATTGAAGGCATTTTTTTTTGCAGGCTTTGAAGATCTTGAAGAATTAAAGGCATTGAAGGCATTTTTTGCAGGCTTTGAAGATTTTGAAACAACTTAAAGCCATTTTGCAGAGTTGATTGCTCCGAAGCTTGACGTTTACTGTTGAAGATCACGCCACTTGAACCCCGGAAGCTACGCCGTTTGAATCCCGGAGGCACTTCAGTAGACAACGTTAGTGAAGAATCAGAGGACCATTCAGAGACTTTGTGCCTGCACATTGAATTATACACATGCTGTACACAAAATTTTGTGAATATATACAAAGTTTACTTTTTTGTGTTTACATCGTTGATTCATGTTCATATGATTAAATAATACAATTGGTGCGGATACACATACAAATCTCTCATTGACTTAGTTGAGACTTACAAGGAAGACAGAAGAAGAACCTTTTGGGGGCCAATGACATTGATATTGGTAAGTTCTTATTGTCTTTAATCTAATTGCATGAATTTTATGTAGTTGTGGATGTATATTTAAGAATTTATTATGGATATATATGCATGACATTTGGAATATACTCAGTTTATTAAGATCTGAATTTATAGTTCTGAATTTGTGGATATATAGTTTTTAAATTGTGGATACGTAGTTATGTAATTATGGATATATAGTACTCTGTGAATATATGAATGTATTACTCTGTGAATAAACATTTAAGAATCCTGGATATATAGTAATGTATTTGTGGATGTATAGTTATTAAATTATGGATATATATGCATGAAATTTGGAATATACTCAGTTTATTAATATCTGAATATATAGTTCTGAATTTGTGGATATATAGTTTTACAATTATGGATATATAGTTATGTGATTATGAATATATAGTACTCTATGAATATATGAATGTATTACTCTGTGAACAAACATTTAAGAATTCTGGATATATAGTAATGTATTTTTGGATGTATAGTTATGAATTTATGGATATATATGCATGAAATTTGGAATATACTCAGTTTATTAAGATCTAAATATATAGTTCTGAATTTGTGGATATATAGATTTAAAATTATGGATATATAGTTATGTGATTATGGATATATAGTACTCTATGAATATGAATGCATTACTCTGTGAACATGCAATTAAGAATACATGGGTATGTAGTTGTTCTAACTTGATCTTTAACATAATCTTCTGTAATTTGTAGCTGTTCTACTTTGATCGAGTAGAATTCAAAGGAATGAAGGTCAGCAGGACATACCCTAGCATACTTGCTTGGACAAGCAATCTTGTAAGAAAGAGGGTCAAGGCTGAAAAAAAAAAAAAAAAAAAAAAACCAGGGGGTTTGGAAAGGGAAAGGTTGTCCCTAGAATTAAGAAGCCAAGGAGTGCTGCTACCACCTCACTGCGACAACCTGCATGTACTGCTGCTGCTACCACCTCACTGCCACGACCTGCATGTACTGTTGCTGCTACCACCTCACAGGCTACTACTTCTTCTACTCCTGCTACAGCAACACCGACTCCACCTACAAATGAGCCACTCTCAAGTGTTGACAGGGTGACCCGTGTGCTCCAAAAGCTAACATCAAATGTTCTGGAGTTCGGTGAAGCTATGTCTGAAATTGGAAAGCAGGGTGCACCTATTGAAGTGATGAAGAAAGCATTCTCAGGGATATCAAACATGCTAGGTGCTGCAAGTGCAATTGAATCGACTTCCGTTCCAACTGCCTCTCAGCTGGATGACATATTCTTTGGGAGTGAAACCTTCACAGCGGCAGTGGATTCATTAGTGGAAGCATTTCAGAAGACAACAAGAACCATGGAATTTGAACCTCCATCATTTGATTTGGGGATACACCGCTCTGCATCCCAGTCGCAGCCACATGAATAAGTAACAGAGCAAGCAATTTCTGCATCCCAGCCGCAGCCACGTGAACATGTAACAGAGCAAGCAGTTTCTGAGGAAGAACCATTGGATGCTTTGGTTCAAAAAATTGGAAAAGATGCAGGACTGTCAACATCTTTGGGAGAAGAAGTAACTCCTCCACTTGTTAGAGTTCCATTTCAAAGATATGTTCATCATACCACACCTGTAAACCCTGCTGCTGATGCTGATGTTGATGACTTTGATGGGTAAATTGACACTTTTTTATTTACATTTAGCTTTAACATTATGAATTTATAGTTCTAATATTATGGATATGTGGATATTTGTGATTTTATAGTTCTAAGATTATGGACATATAGCTTTGAGATTGTGGATATATAGATATAAAATTATGAACATTTTTAGAACTGTGAACATTTTAAGATTATGGATATGTGGATATTTGTGATTTTATAGTTCTAAGATTATGGACATATAGCTTTGAGATTGTGGATATATAGATATAAAATTATTAACATTTTTACGTAACTGTAAACATAAAGTTCTACTATTCTGTGAATGTGTAGTTCTATGATTATGGACATATACCTTTAAGATTATGGATATAAAGTTCTAACATTGTAGATATATAAACAACAGAGCCATGCAAGAAAGCGAGTCTGATGTTGAAGACGTAACTGTTAGGAAGAGACCACAGCGAAGATTCAAGAACAAACCTCTTTGTCTGAGGTCACCATACTGGACAAAGAATGCAGGTTTATACACAATGCAACTCCCCGGGATAAAATAATCTCAAACTATGCATTCTTGAGTGTGTCTGACGAACACCCGGAAAAGTATGTTTGAACACACATATTTATAACAAATTTTTAATTACTTAAATATTTCATATTATTATTATTATTGTTGTTGTTGTTGTTGTTGTTATTATTATTATTATTTTGGTATTGTAGTGAGTTGTTGTTCAGCTATGGTGACTACTACCTAACAAGGTCTCACTTCTCAACTTTGAGCAATGGCTAGCTGGATATAATCTTCTTGAATGTTTGGTCTTTGCGGTTAACTTTGAAGAACACGGAACGTGCTGTTGGGGAACCAAAACGAGTATTCTCCACCACACTGCCAAATGTAAAAGTTATTTTTGACATGCAGATGCCTATTTTTAAAAATCTGACTATATAGCATTATAATTCTAGATGTATAGCTTATAAATTTTGGATATATAGTACTCTAAGCCTTTTGAATACTCATTTTTGCATTCTGTATATTCAAAAACAGCTACAGCTTGATCCATCTGATGATTGGATTAAAAGTCTCCTGGCCGAGAGAAAGAGGGAAAATTTCAATGATAGATTGAACTATGAAATATCAAGTTTTGGAAACCTGGAAATCAATGATGCAGACCTTGTAAGATCTATTACACACATCCACTTTCAATTTATCATGTCCATAAATATTAACATCGCTTTACCTTTGTTTTGGAATTAGATATTTTTCCCACTGCATCGCCATGGGCACTACTTTGTTGTGTGTATCAATGTCAAGGAATCCAAAGTTCAGGTGATAGACAACAAAGAATTGCCATCTGGTGTTTCAGAGCTTGATAAATATAGAGACTGTCCACATGTATTGGTAGCTTATATTATAATAATAATAATAATAATAATAATAATAAACTCCTTATTGTTACCTATATATTGACTTTAAAACATTATGAACATTGAGCTAATTTTTTACCAGATTGAAGCATTCAAGGCGTACCTGGCAGCAGAACAATCCCCCTTGGCTTCCAAGTTGAACACCATGGCAGTAGAGTTCCTTGCAATGGATTGGAAGAACACTGAGAATGTCACCGACTGTGGCATATATGTGATGCGACATATGGAGGCTTACATGGGCGGAGCTCTCAAAAACTGGAAGCCTGGATTCAGAAAAAATATGCGCACAAATGTAAGAGTAACATAAATATATTACATTCAAGCTACATTAAAAAAAGATAACAAAATTACAATAAACTAATTGTTTATTTTTCTTAATTTACAAGCTAACTTCATTTATGAGTTGAGGGCAAAGTACGCTACTTGTATCATCACATCGAAATTGAAAACCGTCATAACCGAAGTCATAAAAGCTGCAAAGGTTGAAGACAAGAAGAAGTAAATGTACAAGATCATTGAATGTACAAGCACTGATTTCTAACAATGTTTTTTGTTATGATCAAAAATTGTTTTGTAACTACTTTATTGCAAATTTTGCAATTTCTGATCTATGAAGTTCACGAATTTCTGAATATATAGTTCTCAGATTATGGATATATAGGTTTAAGATTATGAATATATGGATATAAAATTATGAATATTTTTTGTAAGTGTAAACATAAAGTTCAACTATTTGTGAATTTATAGTTCTAAGATTATGGACATATAGCTTTAAAATTGTGGATAAATGGATATAAAATTATGAACATTTTTACAACTGTAAACATAAATTTCAAGAATTTCTGAATATATAGTTCTCAGATTATGAATATATAGCTTTAAGATTATGGACAAAAGGATATAAAAATATGAACATTTTACATAAGTGTAAACATAATGTTCAACTATTTGTGATTTTATAGTTCTAAGATTATGGACATATAGCTTTAAAATTGTGGATATATTGATATAAAATTATGAACATTTCTACAACTGTGACATAAAAGTCCAATAATTTGTGGACATATAGTTCTCAGATTATGGATGTATAGCTTTAATATTATGGATATATAGCTTTAATATTATGGATATATAGCTGTAAACCTGCAAAACAACAAGTACTAAAATTTTGAATACACTGTGCAAAAACTTGTAAATTGATATCCTCAAAACAGGTAACAACTTGTATTAACCCACTCTCAATCTACAACTGCATTATCATCTAAATCATTACTAAACTGATAACTCTGAACTCCCAGAACTTGGATGTACAAGGTACCCATCTCCGGCAATCTTGGATAGACTTTCCACAACCAACGACTGAACAGCACCCTTTGTACTCGACACAACTTTATTTGCAGCACTCCTTCTCCCCCTTGCAAAACTGTACTTCTTTTCAATAACACTACTCCTCCTTACATTACGCTCACCTTTTGATCTCCGGTTTGAAGGATTTTGAACGACACCACTTGAAGATGAAACACCACACTCCAATATGCACATAGCCAATCTCAGCTTCAACCTTTTTCTTTGCATCCTCAACTGCTTCATCACAGAACTGCCTAGTTACACTGTTTGCTTGACTAGATGCAATCAATCTTTGAAATTTTCTACTAATCTCAACAACCCAAATTGAAGGAGGAACACCAACTTTATAAAACATTGGACCAATATTCATATTTCTACCATCAGCCACCTTTTTAGTCCACATTTTCATGATATATTTATCAGGGATACTAGAAACACAATGTACATGAAGAATACGTAGGCAATGGCAGCATAAAATTCCCAACTCAGAAATCAACTTGCAACCACAAGAGATGTCCAAGTTGGCCAGCTTAAAACTAACTTCGTGCCTTATAATTTCTATATCTGGACGCCGTACATGATACTTGAGGTGAAAACCATCATTCAACACCATTTCTTGATGACAAACATTGCCTTTCATAAATTGTTCCTCAAACAAATAATATATCTCAATGGTATATACATCTCTAGCATGTAAAAGAAGTCTCACGTGCTCCATCATCATAGTGGGTACCCCTTGAGCACAACGAAAATCTTCACCATTCTCTTTACTTCTCCATTCAGAAATTACACTAACAAATGATGAATAGAAATCACAAAGACCAGCAGTCTTAGACAGCCTTCTCGAAATCGAATGATTTGTAGTTTCACTCCTTTGCGACGATAAAATGCCCCCTGAAAAATAATCCTTGTTAAATGTTGGACACCACTTCTCCCTATAGTCATAAAGCTTTTGTATCCAAGTATTCTTCGGACACTTATAGTCAGCCACCAGCCTGAAAATGATAAGACACAAGCACAAATGTTTATGAAATGAAAAAAAAAAAAAAACAAGATCAGCACATCTCTAACATATGTTCAGAACTCTAATGCTATATATCCACAATTCCAATACTATAAATCCATAAATTGAATGCATATAATTCAGAGACAATCAGGAAGCTACATGTTTTACTACTACATGTTCAGACAACTAATACTATATAGCCATAATTCTAATGCTATATATCCACAATTCCAATACTATAAATCCATAAATTGAATGCATATAATTCAGAGACAAGCAGAAAGTTCCATGCTTTACTACTACATGTTCAGACACCTAATACTATATATCCATAATTATAATACTACATATCCATAATTCTAATATTAAATATCCACAATTCCTATACTATAAATCCATAAATTGAATGCATATAATTCAGAGACAAGCAGGAAGCTCCTTACTTTACTACTACATGTTCAGACCCCTAATACTATATATCCATAATTCTAATATTATATATCCATGATTCTAATACTATGTATCCACATAATAATGAATAAAATGAAAAAAAAAAAAAAGAAAAAAAAAAGTAGTGGACATACCTTGTCCAATAAAATTCAAACCCAGCTTCAGTATCTGTGTATTTCAACACACAGTTAAACATATCCAAGAAATCCTTATTATTCCTTAACGCCTTGATATGCTTCTTCGAATTCTCACCAATATGCCATATGCAAAGACGATGACGTGATGTTGGAAACACATGACAAATAGCAGCAGCCATGGATGCACATTGATCTGTGATGATAGACTGTGGACACTTCCCATCCATAGATCTTAAAAATGCTCTAAACAACCACACAAATGATTCTATCCTCTCATTCATCAAAAAACCACATCCAAACATTACATTCATGCAGTGATGGTTCATCCCTACAAAAGGGCCACAAATCATATCATATTTATTGGTGCGATATGTTGTATCATGCACTAACAAATCCCCAAACAACTCGTAATCCTGTCTCATCTGACCATCCCTCCAAAAAAAAACTGCACAATCTTAAATCGCAATCAACTTCAAAATCGAAGAAAAAATCAGACTCAATAGACTGCCTCTTCCTAAATATTTCAATTAATGAGTTCGAATCTGTTCCATCCAAACGCTTCAATGTATCAGAAGCAATCGAATTATAAGCATCTCGGTTAGTGAAACCAATTAATGGAGACCCCCCTGCTTGATGTTTCAAAAACCTAATACCATCTGCCATTGCAACGCCAATCTTCTTCAAATCTTTTAAATATAACAGCTGATTATCTCCAACATTTCTATGTGAACGAAGTAGATGACTCTTGTCTACCGCACATAACTCATGGTTGTGCACTTTTATGTGTTTTGTAACCGTCCACAACCCATCCTTACCCACGTCAAACTGAACACATGCACCACACCCTGTCCTTATGTCAATTTTTGAATAGGCCTTAACACCAGTGTTTGCCTTAAACTTAAAACCAGCTTTAGAACACATAAACATCTTCATTTGAACTGTTTTACTGTATACCTTGCAACGTTGATTACCCTTCCTCACACTAAAACCAACTCTATATGCATAATTGTTATACAGCTCATAAACTTCAACCCCGTTACTTACAACAACACCAACCAAATCTTCATCAACTGCAAATGCAATATATAACCTCAAGTATAACAAATAATAAACATTCCATTAAAATATAATTCCTAAGTAGAGGGGGTGCGGGGAATGCGGAATAAATCCAGACATGCTCTACAAAGGAATAACATTTTCCATGGAAAAATAATGAAAATATAACAATGCTGAACAGTGTGAATTATGAACATATAAAACTACATATAAACCTGGAATTGAAGAAGAACCATCAATGTCTAACTCTATTGGATCTAAACTTGATGAATCAGCAACAAGATCTTCACTGACTGCATAATGTTACAAGCCAGAACAGAGTATCAACTAGAAATTCTGGATATATAGTATTAGAATTCTGGATATATAGCTCATAATTTTTGGATATATAGTTGAATAATTATGCATATATAGTTCATTCATTATGAATACCATAAACCCATAAACACCACAAATTATGAATAACCTCATACTAAAATCACCAACATCACATACATTGTATACAATCCAGAACAGAGTATCAGTTCAGAAATTCTGGATATATAGTATTATAATTCTGGATATATAGCTCACAATTTCTGGATATATAGTTCAAAAATTATAGATATATATTTCATTCATTCAGAATACCATAAACACATAAACACCACAAATTATGAATAATCTCAGACTAGAATCACCAACATCACATACATTGTATACAAATCAGACTAAATATAAACACCAAAAACAATATATCACTCTGCAACAATCAAAATAGACGCAAACGATCTCAAAACCATAAAAAATTGCAAAATATCGATTACAGATTAACAAAAATCAACAAAACCAACTGCAAAAAAAAACCTGGAACCGTATGCAATCCATCAACTGCTTGATCTCTATGATCTATTGCCTCATCCAT